TACCCTTCAGCCAATAGTTTAAGTTTTTCCCACTCATAAGATTTTAGCTTCCTGGATCTTTGTCCTAAAGAGTGCTTCTAAGTATGGTCTATTACCATCCAATAAACCTTCACTCTGGCTACCTTAATTAAGATCATAGCTGAGACACCCTAACTGTACTCTGATCTCCATATTTGTTTCTAGAACTGTTTTTCAATAGTCACTAACTAGAAATCTGTTAAAGCACCATGGCTATAGCCCAGAAAAAGTACTTTGCTTAAAACACTGAATGAAATTCAGGAATACATAAAAGGTAAAGAGTTATGGCAGGTTCTAAAGATTCTAAATTTGAAGGAAGCAAGAGCAGTCTTGGTACTACTGGTCCTTCTACTCCTCTTCTAAAGAGCTGGCTTCACAAGGTTAAAGAATCTAGCTCACATATCCTGTTGATTGTAAGTTCTACTGCCCTGAAGGCAATTCCGTAATTTGCTTATTGAACCGATGTAATGATTTTGTCCAAGTATAGTCTTGTTAATAGCATAAAACGTAGTTATTAGAGTAATTGCCAATTACTCATCTTTATAGGCTAATTGTTAATTTTCCCCCAATGTTTCAACTTTTCAACTTATGAATCTTTACGAGTCAGATTTTGAAGCCCAAACCGAATGAAATTCAACCGCTTCCTGATTAACTCTGAAACAGTTCTGCATTTCTGGAAACAGCAGAAGCTATTTTTAGGATTGAAATAATGATCTCACTTTCCCAGGCATGTAGCTTCAGCTGTTTTGATTGTGGGCAAGGCAGGAATGACCAAAATTCATACATGGATTCATGGAGAATTTCTGCATAAACAAACATGGTATTTCAATAGGGATTGTGTTAAAAAAAAAAAAGCTTTATATAATAAAAACTACTGTATTTCCAACACTGAAATACAAAAAAAATCTGTCTTTTTGGTATAAGCATTCCACAGAAACTTTGGGTCTAAAATAGTTTTAAAAATGAGGACAAATTAAAATTATACTCAGTGGCCTGGTCTAATTTTAAATGACATAAAGTAATGGACAAAAGCTTAGTACAGATAAGGAGAGATGCTGGCAGATATGTAAAATTTAAGGATTTAAAGCCCCAAAGCTATCATATATATGCAAATTCTATAGGAAATTATTTTTAAAATAAGAAGACAGTATAGGAAATCTGATTAAGGCAGTTAAAACTGGATTTCTTCGGGAGGGGAAGGACTGAATAGAGGGGATAGGATTGTTAGGAAAAGTGGGAGGAAGAAGGGAGAGGTCTAACAACCATATCATTTTCTAGGATTTGCCTCATTTACCTCTCTTTGGAAGATATGACTAAAACTAACAAAAGGCAATTTGGGTAAATAAAGACATTTTAAACAAGTAAGTTTTTATCATAAAGTTTAATTTTGGTTCAGAAAAAATTGAGTGAATAACTTTCTCTGAAAAAATATATTGACTCTGTGCAGACTGCAGTTATTGGGGTGGGGGGGGACTGGTAAGTTAAATTACCCTATTTTCTATTCTGAAAATGACAAAAAGTCCCATTTCCAGTCTGATTATAGAGATGCATGTGCCGAAATGGCTGAGAATAAATACAACAAGAAAGGTAAAAGCTGTAAGGCTAGGGCATGCTACAGGGTCTAAGAGAAAGTCTCAGAAATACCCAAAGTGGCAACAAGTAACGTTTGGCTGGAATTTGGAGTTCTTTTCAGTCATCTTTGTCTTTTGCTCCATGTTTAAGGATGCGCGTGAACTCAATGTAATTGAAATTTCCCTTTTTGTCAATAGGCGCTTCTCTGTACAGCTCATCCACTTCCTCATCCGTAAACCGATCTCCCATTGTCGTCAGCAGCTCTCTCAGGTAATCTTCCTGAATGGTGCCTAAAGAATAAAAGACTGTGGTTCAGAATACATACTACTCTGAGGATTAATTAATTACGAGGAGCATCTACACTTGACTAAGCACACTCTATATGTTAAGAACTGCAAATATGCAAATACATGAAATATGAGGTCTTCACATGCTTATTATTAAGCCAGCCTCAGAGGACAGACAGTTGCTTAGAAAATGCCTAGTTGCTTAGAAGCATTAACCAGCTGTTTTATCGATCTTTCCACATCCATTTCCTGATCTCTTCATAATAGGGACTAAACCTATGCCTAAATGAAAGCAATAAAGTATGATTAAGAAATTTAAGCCACATAGTTCCTTAAAGTAGCATGAATGGTCACACTTATTCTATAAGCAAATAACACTAAAGTCAGTACCACGTCATAAAAATCTATAAAGTGCTTCAGTGGAAAGAATACTGGAGTCTTGAGGTCCAGTTTTTGTGTTATTTCAGGCATTTCACTTTACCCTTGACTTTGTTTTTTTAATGTGAAATGAGACAAAAATTTTTTTTACACATCTAATTTAGAATTAATAACAAATATGGCCAGGCCCAGAGTGTGCAAAAACATTGAGTAAATATTTGAGCATTAACTATGTCAGAGTCACCGGGCAAGGCACTGGAGATGTGGCGCTGTAAGCCAAAAGGTGTGCTTTCTACTCTTGAATGTGAAAGCAGGGTTCTCATAAAACCTGACAGCACATCAGAATCAAAATCATCCAGGTAGCTTAAAAAAAAAAAAAAAAAAAGGTCCAGCTTCTACCTTTATTAACTGGTATTGATAGTTTCAAAAGGTTTGACTAGTAATTCACGTGTGCAATCATAATTGAGAACCAAAGGTGATAAATGATAATTCAAGCACAGAGATTTTGAAATTCATAACAAAAAGAAAAACTGACAACTTTCTTGTATGTAAAATTAAGCTAAACCATTAATAACATATTTCCTATAAAATGAATTGCAAGTATAAGATCAGTTCACATAAGAATCTCTAGATTTATGGGTTTTTTCCTAATTCAATTCTAGAATTTAAAAAAGATGTTCCTCAAAACTTAAGAATTTTAGCTTATAGAAATAATCATCTACAGCCAAGTCATTCAACTATCACATAAACTCATCATCGACTATGTGCAAGGGACTGTCGTAGGTGCTAGAAGGGGTTATTAAGATGGGAACAGAATGCTCCTGAAGACACAGCCATCACCTAGGAAAAGGGAGAGACTATGATGATTGGAAATAAGTACACAAACAAAATAGAAGTTCAGACAGAGTATGTGCCAAGAGAGATAGATAAAATTGTTTGGAGGTGGAAAGAAGGGAGAGGCTCTAAGTTTTCCTGGGGGCATGAGAAAATAGTATGAAAATGCAGGCAAGGCTCTGTAAAAGATATGACTATTGAGAGAAGTTTGAAGAACGGTTTTATGGTTTTATTCCTATTTAAAAAGTTACATCTGCTCAAAGTATAAAAAATTCAATTAATACAAAGTGTCTTTAGGTGAAAAAGTTTAAGTCTCCTCTGCCTGCCTCTCCCCTACCCCTTGCAGAAAACCAGTTAAGAATTTCAATTTCAAGAAGGGGAAGGTAGTATGATGAGGAAGACATAGAGGCAGAAATGGTAGAGGTAAATTAGGACAACAATGTGGAGGATTGTAAGGAGGTTAGGAAGATGATACAAGGGTCGTGGGTGGTATACCTGAAAAGGCCAAAAGAGGCAACATTTTGGGGAGCCCAAAAAGCCATACTGGGGAGACTATGCTTCTATCACTAGACTATGCTTGGACTATTCAAACTACTCCAAGTAATGCGTAATCAATGGGTGTGCCTTCCTTCTCAAATAACTCACCACAGAGATGACCCTTTATCTTTTTTCTTATATATACTCTGCCAAAGGATCAGGCATTTATGTAGTTAACTTTTGGGTGTTTTTTGAGAGTTGACTCTATGCCAGGCAGTATGCTATTATCTCATTTCCTCATTTAATCCTCCTAA